TGACACTGCTGCTTGTACCCATAACCCAGGTGACATGGTTTGGAGTAAAGAGTGGAAGAAGACCCCTTGTCTCCTGGCTGGAGGGGCCCCTATTTAATGATTTGGGCCATTCCCACAGCAGCAAAAGTGGCAGAGATCCATCCCTGGATTCATCACTCCAGAATCAAGTGGGCTCATCCCAATGACTGAAGGAAGGCCTATGCCGATGAGCTGGCTCCCTGGACCACCCTGAAAAGACAATGTGCTCAAAGCCCTGCTCTCATCACCTAGGAAGCTGAAGAGTCAACGCAGGCTGAAGACTGATGGACAGCATGCACCACAGAGACTGCCCTAAAACTCATGTGTTGCTATTCTGCTTGGTTTCTGGTCCCTTTCCTTTTGTAAATCTGTACGTCTGCCCTGGAAATCTGGGCTATTGCCCAGAGGACTGGAGAGTTCCCCAAAAGGCTGCCTTTGTCCTCCTCTACATCTGTGTAAGCACTGGACTGCCCACCCTCAAGTGTCTCTGATTTGGGACTAAAATGACTTTCCTCTGGGTAATGTGTCTAAGCCTTTTAGGAGTTTATGGAAAGGGGGATACTGGGAGACCCAAGCCTGTCTGGGCGGTACTCCAAATCTCAACCGTACCAGGTGGGACCCCCGCCAACCTAGTGTGTCCTTGTACTCTGATGCCTGTTCCAACTGCGAGACCAACAGTTACTACACAGGATAGGTGACCTGAGTTGGGAATGGACTTACCGAACCAGCAATAAGTTTGTTTGTCAGGATTGGCAGGAACCCCCTTACACAGCAGGTGGTGAAAATGATTTTGATATGTGTAATAACACCCACTTCTGGTACTGTAACGTATGGAAATGTGCCAATATATATTGGCCTGGAAGGGGAAAACAGTGGGGTACAACAGTCTGGAGAAACCCTCCTTACAATGGAAGATCTCCCTTCAGTTTGTAGGGCCCTCAGACTATAAGAAGGGCATCTGTAACCCATTCAGTATCTTGTGTATAACCCCAATGACACTGTCTGGGTAACTGGACGCTTGTTAGCCATCCGAGTGGATGGCACAGGTAAAGATCCTGCAATGTTGGCTCACATTCACAAGGTCTTTATTTCCACTATTCAAGTCCCTACCTCCAAGGTTTTCATAGACTTCGAACCTGAGCACACCAAAAATGACACTAGAGACCTCTCCTCACTAGCTCCACACCTGTTATAGCTGGCTAAGGGGACTCACACCGTTCTCCAGCAGGTCATGAGAGAAGACTGCTGGCTCTGTATGCTGCTCACCACCCTCACATACCGGGCTTTAGGGTTAGCTCCAAATGTTTCCTGATTCTCTGTTACTCAGGCTCCAGCAATCTCGTTTTAAGCTTCCCCAACTCAAATAATGGGAAGCTCCACTTGCTTCCTGGGAAAAAAGGGTTTTCCAAATATGTCAGCTGACTGTGCCTCCATAACCGGAGCCAGGTCCTTATTTAAGCAAATAACGGAGCTTTCTTTGTGTGCTCTAATGGGGTCTAGCACGTGTTTTCCCCACAACACATGAGCCTCTGCGGTGCTGCCTTCCTGGTCCTGGATCTGAACGTCTACCCCAGTAACTGGGGCCCTCTGGCTCACCCTGAATCCCACCGGAAATGGGACCCCATGTTCCTGCCCATCCTGGCTGGCATAGCAATAGCAGGTAGCCTTGCCATGACAGACCAGCCTTTGGGTTAGGACAGAGCCAATACACACAACTGACTAACCAAATAATAGGAGAGCTTGAAAGCATTCAAAACTCTATTGACACCCTCGGAGAGCAAAATGATTCTTTGGCCATGGCTGTCTTACAAAACTGGAGGGCTTTAGACCTCCTGACAGCCCAGTAAGGGGAATCCCGTCTTTTCCTAGAAGAGGAATGTTGTTCTTAGGCCAACAAGCCAGGAATAATCAAGGAAAACTCCCACCAGTTGTGAAAGCACCTCTAACAGAGAGCCAAAGATAGACTGGGTGTCTCTTCTTGGTGGGGTTCCCTGGACTTTTTCCCCTCACAGGCAGAGCCTTACTTGGGTCTTCTATGGCCCTTCTGATGGTCCTGCTCCTGGGTCCCTGTGTGATCCCCATCCTAACCCGATTTCTGTCTGAGCACTTTGAGGCCATACATCCCCAGCTCCTCTTAAGGACCACCCCCTCCTATCAACTTGTTAAACCTGAGGAAGAAGAATTTTCCTTATAAAAACACAGTGGGGGAATGTAATAGAAGATTTTAAAACTATAGCTTCATAATTGGGCCACCAGACTCAGCCAGCCTTGACTAACCTAGCCAGCTGCAACTCAGAGATAATTTGACTCAGTTCTACCTTGCCAGCTACACAGTAGCCTACAAGCATATCCTGTTTTGTTAGCCTGCTTGAAGGACTATTGACCTGACACAGGCTAGCCCTGTCAAGGACACACTTAATCTTACCCGCTTGCCCGGACCCTGACTTCCCCCAGACCTTCCTGCCTCATGACGAATGGTCCCTCTAACTAAATCTGTCCTGGACACATCTGCCTGACAACATGTGACCAAACATAAGTAACCAATTAAGAATAACCCATTATTGACTTTGTACTTCCTGCTTACAACATGTGTAGAAGTTGCTCTTTTACTCTAAGCTGGGGCTGGTGATTTGGACCTGGTTCCCACCAGCCCTCCGGTGTAATAAAAGTTGCCTTCCAACTCCTTAGTGCAGAGCATTTTCCATGCAGTTTGGTACAGATTCTACAACACAGGCACCCTCCTCACATGAGCGCTTCTCACTACTTCCTCCACGTCTCTGTGGGTCCAGGCTACCATCATATCTGGCCCACAAGGCCTTTGTGACTGAAAACCCACTGCTCTTGCTTTCTGGACTTGAGACAATCAGCCAGGACCCAGCTCAGGATACAGGCCACTTGTAGAAGTGGGTACCGTGACACAGCCTGGGAGAGAAGGGGGACAGAAGCTGATCACAGGCAGGAAGGAAGCAAAACTGTTATGACCACTCAACTCAAGTTGAGTTCTCTGGGCTGCAGCTTCAGTTGGTGTGGATGGCAACTATGAGGTCATCTCCAAGCATCCACCCATCTCCCCATGCTTCCCTCCACCCATCGTCCATCCCTCCTTCTATCCACCCATCGTCCATCCCTCCTATCCACCCATCGTCCATCCCTCCTTCTATCCACCCATCATCCATCTCTCCCCATCCATCCTACCTTATATCCATCCATCCATCCACCCATCCACCTACCCACCTGCCCAGCCATCATTCTTCCCGCCCTTCCATCCACTCGTGCATCTCCCCACCCACCTCCCCTCCCTCCCCTCCTCTAAACACACACCTACAAACCACCTGCCTCACCAGACTGGATGCACAGCGCCCCGCACCCTGGCGCTGGGAGGAGACTCGGAGTACAGGAACCCAGAGTCCCAGCCTGTCCACCTGCCCCAGGCTCACCCTGCACGCGTGGAACGAAGCAGTGCAGTTTAGCTCCTCTAGCTCCACATGCCAGTCCTGGGCTGTACGCCGGTGCCCCTGGCTGCCACCCAGCTCCACTGTGCCGGGGAACGGGGGCAGCCTGGTATGCAGAGACCACGAGGTGCACACTGGGTTTGGTTCCTGGATCTGCCACCTGCTCGCAGTGTGAGCGCACAGTGAGGTCCCGTCTCCGAGACTCAGGCTTCCAACCTGGGAACGGCAGTGCTGAGGCCCGTCTCTAGACTGGCTGTGGGAATCCAGTGGGGCCAAGCGGCCCACACATAGCAGGTCTCCCTCTGTAAGTGAGGCTCTTGCCCTTGGCTGCCCTGCCTTCCGGCCTCTGGCTCCTGCTCGGAGAGGGGAAGCTCACTCGCCCAGGATTAGGAGTCTGGTGCCACCGGTACTGCTCCCCATCCCCCTGCAGTGGTCCTCCTGGGGGTGAGGCTATGTCACCAGGGAGTTGTCCTCTACTCTGGTGCCCCCTGCTGGGGGCCTGGGGGAGGGTATGAGTGCGTTCTGTGGTCCACCGCAGCACACCTTGAGCCTGACCACTATACCCAACTCACACAAGCCCAGAGACTCAGAATTCCAAGAACAGCACTTTGCACTGTCATCCCTCAGGCTAAAGGTGGACCTCTGCGCCTGAGCACGGGACCGGATGCTACCAATGTTCCTCCAATACTGAGACTCAGAAGGTTCACGGAGCCTTGGGGGTCAGTAGGCTGGTGACAGGTTTTAAGCAGGATATCACTGCAGTCCCAGGGCCTGCGTATTCTGTCCTGGGACACAGACCTCTAGGAGAATTTGGAGGAGGAATGTGATCAGGGTGAATGAAGGTGCCCCAGAAACAAATGTGTAAGAGCACCCCCCGTGAAAGCAGTGTGGAGGGACAAGAAGCGTGGTAATTGCCAAAAACAAAGATGTGATCTGAGGCCACATACAGGTGCTACGTTTAGAAGAAAGGAGGAAAAGACCCCATGCACTTGGAACCAGAATTTGATCTGAAACAGAAGGGATTTGATGGGGGAGCAATCAGAGCAAGGAGGGGCTGGAAAGCCCTCACAGCGGGACAGGTCGGGGGGTGTCACCTCAGGCCCTGAGCTGGAGAGAACCTGAGGGCTGGGAAGGACACAGTACTGGGGGAGCGCCCAGTTCCCAGGGTCCCCGAGAGGAAGAGCCCAGGGGGACGGCGCCAGCTCACAAAGAGGCCCTTACGGAGCAGCTGCTTTGGAGTGGGGGCGCCTCCACACTGGAGGGAGGGATGCAAGTGAGGCTGTCAGCCAGCGGTGGTGGCGTCACAGGCACTGCAGGAGGGCGGCCTGACCAGGCTGACTGATCACCTCGAGCTCCTGGACTGCTATGGTCTGGACCCTACGTGCCTGCTAGGTCCCTGAGGGTGGGACTGGAGAAAGTCCCTGGGGGGCTGCAGGGACCCGGCCTCTCCTCTCCTCTCTCCAACCTCCCGGTCAGGAAATAAGTACTTTGCTCTGCACCCCCCTGCCTGCTGCCAGGGCCTCGGCCTACCTTCTCCTGGCTGCTGTGTGCGGCCAGGGAGCGGTGTGCCGCCCCGCGCAGAGCTGTCCTGTAGTTGCAGAAGTTCCCTGTCGGCTCCATCTGGTGCTGGGAGGAACAGGAGGTGCTGGGCAGCTCTGTCAGAGTCCCCTGGCCGCGCCCTCCCCCGGCAGCCCGGTTACCTCCAGGATGAAGAACTCGGCTGTCTTCACTTTGGCCCAGGTCTTCTTCAGCCTGGAGACAGGGTCATGTTCATGCCAGCTGCAAGGGGGAGGCGGGCAGGGATGGGCTTCTCGGCCGGGAGAGTCCACTGCAGGAGCTTTGTGGACTGCATGGGCCCCGCCTGCCGCCTGTGGGTGGACGTGGGTCCAGCTCGTGTGTCACAGACTGACCCTGTGTCCACCTCCTGACCCAGCCCATGCCCAGAGAGGGCCTGACTAGCACCTGTGTGCCCCACGGTGCCCCCAACCCTCTCAGTGGTCCTTGGGGGGCCTGGGCCTGGGTGGCCACTCACAGCTGATGGCCATCAGGGACTTGCCGATGCTGAAGCACTCTCGGGCCACGCCAATGAAGAACTCCATCGCCTGGGCCCGCTGCTTCTTCTTGGCGGGCTGAGGACAGGCAGAGTCGGCACCAGCTGCGCCCTCAGCCGCCCCAGCCTGGCTCTGAACCTTGCCCAGGCCCACTCCACAGCAGAGAGGCTGTGGCCCGGGGACCCGAGTGAGGCCCAGGCTCTCAGCACAAGCACTCCCAGCAGCTCCCGCTCCGTGCTGTGAGGCCCGGCAGCATCTGTGGCACGCCGGGTCCCGGCACCTTAGGGACAGCTTGGTGGCTGCCCTTCCAGGGCAAGTGCTGGGGGCTCTCAGGCTCCAGCGGCTCAGAGGGGTCCTGGGTCCCTCCCTGGGGCCATCCTGGGTGGCTTCCTCAGTGCAGACCCACTCAGGTCAACCCTGTTTCAGCCCTCACAGCAGGGGTGTGCAGGGAGGAAGTGCCTGGGACAGGGTGCTCCAGAGTCCGCTCGCCGACCACAGGCAGCTTGGGTCTCTACTGCCACCAAGAAAGGCGCTGTGGTGTCTGAGGAGGCCGGCCCTGAGCTGCCCTGTGAGGTGGTCATGGCTGCAGAGAGCCCTGCCCGGTCCTCCAGGGGCAGCCTGCACCTGTGACAGTGAACGAGCCTGGCGGGGCGAAAGGCATCACACACAAGCTTCTCCCTCAGCGCATTCCCAAATCCCCCTCTCCCTCACAGGTGACCCCACGGGAACACAGCTTCCAGGGGCCCCGGGGAGAGTGGCCTGTGACTCCTCTCAGGGGGAAGCCTGGCTTTACCAGTGCCCTCTGCTGTGAGGAAGAGGACAGGTGGGGGGGCACCCAGCCCAGGGACAAGCGTGTCCAGCTCCAGTCTGCAGGGGCCTCTTGCTGTCCAGGAAAAGCCACAGCCTGGACTCTTTGTGTGATATGCCAACTCTTAAAGCTTGCCTCACTTCTGCCTCTAAATCCTGACCGAGCCAAAGCAAACCTGCTACTGGCGGGGCTCTGAGGCAACAGGCGCGGGCAGAGGTGGACGGCTGCCTAGGAGGGACTTTCCACGCCTTCAGTGGTGACACTGGGTCCCAGCCAGAGGGGAGTGTCACTGCGGGACAGGGTGGCACCTCGCGTCCTGGAGGGGTGCCCTGCTAAGTCCGGGCTTGGAGATGGTCCTTCGCAAGCTGCCCTCTGGGCCTCTCCCTCCGGGGCCCCTCCCGGCCCCAGACACCTTTGGCTGTGCGAGTCCCGCCGCCGCACCCCCCACTCACCACGCAGCTCTCGGTGGCCACCGGGTAGCACAGCCGGTTGAACCATTTCACGTAGGCCTCGAGGTTGTCCGTCTTGTCACTGAAACAGGGCTAGAAAGGCCCACAGGACCACACACTGGGTCTGTCAGCGGCTTACTGTAACATAAGGACAGCTCGTGGTCAGAATCGATGATCCGGGCAATGTGGAACCACAAGCCATCTAGCAGTACCAGTGGGTAATCTCTTGGGGTTTTCCCTGTATGTTTAAAGATGTAATTCAAAGTCAAGTGTGTGCACAGAGTTGGTCCTGATTATTCACGGGTTCTGAACTTGCAAACTTGCCTACACCCTGAACTTGGTCTATGATTCCAGCAGCTCATACTGCTTTGCAGACATCTGTGAGATAGATGCACAGAGGCAGGAAAAACTTGAACGGCTCCACACAAGCATTTCCAGCTAAGGTGGAACTGAGCAGAACTCCGCCTTCCCGTTTTGGCTCTTGTACTGTCAGCAAGTACTCTCTATCTATTTAACACCTCCCGCTTTCTGGTGCTTTTTTGGGGAGCAACTTTAATGCCGAAAGCCTTCCCAAGCACAGTGCTGGCATGACTGGTGGTGCCCCTGGGACACAGCAGAGCGCAGGGCTGATCAACGACCCTCAGGTAGGGCTACAGTGCCTTTGAGAATAAAAATTAAACAAAGTGCCCTCAAATATAACCACACATACAACAACGTTACACATGGATCGCTTGATGAAAATGCTATGGTGAGAAGCTTGAATTTCCCATGGGAACAATGTTTTAACAACGGTTGAGACATTGTTCTAGAACACAATGACCAACAATAATCAGAGTCAGTTCTCTAGCAAAGCATGTATACCACATAGCTATGTATATTTCCACGTTTCCACTTTACCCTTTTCCTGTGTCATAAAGCATTCTTTGGAAAGACATTTTTAAATTGATGTAGAACGTTCCACTATATACATGTATCCTAGTTTAAAAGATTAAATCTAAACTAATTTAAATGTGCAAGTTAACACTGCTGGCATAATTTTCAATAGAGGAGGAAGATGGAATGAGGGACCTGCTCATTCAAAAGATGTCAAGGAAGGAGGAAAAAATAAACAGAAAAGCTGGATAGTGAATAGTACAATAGAGGACATAAAAACAAATCCTTACAGATAAGTAGTTACAATCACTGTAATTTTTTAAAAACCCTGTCCTAGTTCTTTTCAAGAGATACATTCTAAACTCAGAGATATAAATTAAAAAAGGGAAAATGTATATGTAATAAATACCACACAACTATTCAGATGGTTCATGGCTTATGATGGTTTGGCTTAATGATTTTTCTATTTTACAATGGGCTTTTCAGGACATGTTCCTATTGGAAGTTGAGGAACATTTGCATTAATATTAGAGAAAATTGATTTCACAACAAAAAAGGAAAAAGGCTCTAAGGCTACAAAGCATCAGGAGAGATTAAAATGTACAAAATGGCAAGCTTTCGGTTCACTGGGAATGAGTCATGAATCTCAATTTGTTTGCACTGTGTAACAAAGCTCCAAAACACAAGGCAAAAGTCATCAGGAAGATGCAGTTCCTTATCAGGAGAAAGACAGCCTTACTACCACAATGGAAGATTTTTCACAGACACAGCAGCAATTAATAGGGTAGGGAAACTGGAAAAAAACCAGTACAGACAGATATCTGAGCAACATAATGTACACAGTTCAGGTAATGGACAAACATGAAAGCTAGAACTCAATTACCTGAAAATATGCATTCTTGTAAAACATTTGGAAATCTAACAACACATTTTAAAGAAATCTATAGGTCAAAGATGAAATAATGAAATTAAAATGATATAGAAAATACTGGAAAACAAAATTTAGAGTCTGTAGATAAATATTTAAAGAGAAATGAATGTAGTCTTTCATTCTTTTATTAGAAAAGTGGGAAGGCAAAGAACAAGTTGAAATCCAGCATAAAGAGATGGGGATATAGCTCAGTGGTGCAGCATCTGCCTGGCAAGCATTAGGTTGTGAGTTCAATTCCTAGTACAAAGGAAGAAGAAGAGGGAAGAAGAAGGAAGAGGAGGAGGAGGAGGAGGGGAAGGAGAAAAAGAAGGAGGAGGAGAAGAGGAAATGAGAAAAAGAGTAACAATAAACCTAAGGGAAGTAAATAGAGGGAAATAAAGACGAGAAAATAAATAAATAAAATGGTAAAGAAACGAGATCACAGAGCCAACAGTCAAAACATCTTTGTGTGAAAACACTAGAAAGATCAAGGACTCTTTGCAATAATGGTGAAGGAGCAAAAAGAAAAAATAACAAAGGATATTAAAGAGAAATCCATTGGGATGTGAAGAAATTTAGGAGATACAGTGGTTCCGTGGTTCATGAACTCATGCCATGATTCTGGGGAAGTTCATCGCCCAGAGTGCAGCTCCAGAATGGAGGCATAATTTTGCCAAATGCTTCTGGTCGCACACAAGCATTTGTGAAGTAAAGTATTATTGTGAGTAAAAGATAGTTATCCACGAATAAGTCTATGTCTATGAATGTGAAAGCTTAGTGGAAATGGCCAAATTCTTGGAAAAATATATATTACAAAACAGACCTAAGAGGAAACCTAAAGGTCTTCTAACCACGAGGATAAGCAAAGCAACAAATAAGAAAAACCTTGAACCTGAACATAAAAGTTATTCCTTGGAGAACATACTAGGCCCAGATATCCGGCTGACAAAGTCTATCCAATGTTCCAAGAGGGGCAATTCCAACTTTTAATCCAGAATAAAGGGAAACAGAAACCAAATACCAGCCACGGATAGTGTCAGACAGGAAGGTCACAGCTCAGCCTCAGTCCTGGTTAAACTACAAAAACACTAAGCCCGACGTCAGTGTACTGCGTCCAGGGATGAGTGAAAACGAGCTCACGATGCGATTTTCTCTTCCATGGGGGCGCGAAGCAGTGGGTAAGCTGCCCGGTAAAAGAAAGCAATGTGGGTGCAGTTTGGGAATGCCCTCAACGAGGCAAATTTTTAATTTTATTACATCTCTTTCAAACATATTTGATGTGACGATACAGAGCGCTTTTGCCACAGGCCCAAGTCTGATGGCGTCTCAAGGGTGAGCGCTTGGCTGACCAGTGCTCCCTGGTTCCACTTTCACAGGACACTGCCTTTCCGTGGGAGAAGGACTAGCAGACTCTCTCTTTGTAGACTCCCATATTTGGCTGATATTTTCTTTAAAATGAACAAAGCAAACCTGCCGCTTCAAGGAAAACAATTCACAGTTTTTGTTGCCACTGATAAAATTCAAACTTTCAAGAGAAAAGTGGGAACATGTAAAACGTGTATCTGCCTCTGAGCTCGACGGCTTTCAGTATTCAGGTTTTGTACAGTGCTGGGATGGAAGCCAGGGCCTCGTGCAGGCCGGGCAAGTGCTCCACCGCTGAACTACGCCCCAGCCCCAGACTGTTTTTAAATTATGAGAACCGGAGTGACAGTAATGCATGTGATCACAGTCCTGTACAGTGAAGTGTGCCAGTATGTGGAAGACCCGCCTGACTCAGCATCTGGATCTCCTAAATGGCCAGTGCATTGTGTTACAAACTGTGCGTTTGAAATGCAAGGCGCAAGGACGGATGTCACGGCCTGTGGGAAGCGCCCTGATGTGCTTCAGATCTCATGTTACAGCGAACCTTTAAAAACTACTGGTTGCAGGGTTTTAATGCAATATCTAACGAGAATATTTACTTCCAACTACTTGTCTGTGTGAGGCTGGGTTTCTTTAGCCAAAACAGTGTACGTTGAGAGACTGAATGCAGAAGATGAGAGAATCTCAATATTTTCCAGGAAGTCAGATATTACAGAGATTTGTGAAAATATTGTAAAACAATGTCACTCTTCTCAGTAATTTTCTATGGAAATATAATTATGATGCATAAAATATGTTAATCAGGTAAACACGTGATCAGTTATCGTAGCTATTTGTGTTTTTAAAAGTCAGAAGTGTTAACGGCTAATACGGTAAATGGGGAGAGAAACAATTCATATAGCCAGTAGTTCTTTTCCGCCCTCAATAGTTTTTATGCATGTAAAGGGGTCCTGAGAACAAACCATTTGAGAAGCGATGCCCTGGGGAAAATGTGCACCCTATGTGCGCCAGAAGCGCCTGTCAGAATGCTCCCCACAGCCACCCTCGCCACAGCAAAACCAGAACACAAGGTTCACCACCGCGGGGCAGGAGAACGACTCCTGCAGTCCTGACACACTTCACAGTGTAAGAAACACTCGGACATGGGAAACGTCGCACAGAAAACCAACAGCCCTTGCAGGGTGGGCGCGCTCCTTCCTGTGTGCCCCCCTTCCTGGAGATTGTTCCCACACTCAGGTGAGCACAGAGCGTTTGGGGAAGGTTGTTTTGTCGTTTCACAGAGGGTTGCGTCCTCTTGTCTCCATCACTACTTTTTTCTCTTGGGCAATTGGGTGTACAGAGCTTAAGGTGGCCATTTGTTTGTTTGTTTTTGAGACAGAACAATTTGTTTTGGTCTCCCTATATAATTCAGCCTGGCCTTGAACTCACAGCAGTCCTCCTACTTCAGCTCCCCAGTGCTGGGATTATAGGTGTGTGCCACCACGCCCTGCTAAGGTAGCCTGTGTGGCTCTGGTGGATGTATTACACCTTTTAATCTACTCCCCATGGATAGTAATTTGCTTCCAGTCTCTGGCCACAGCAGACCCTACATATCCAGAATATCTGCACACGCATCTTCTGCACACAGAGGTGTTTACTATAGGAGACGTGGAGCTTGGAAAGTCGGGTCGAGGATGTGGATGTGTTATTTACTTGTTTATTTGGTGCTCGAGATGGAGCCCAGCTGGCCGTGCACTCCCTAGGCCAGCGCTGCGCGGTGAGCTCTGTCCCGGGCGTGCGCCCTGGCCCACCACCTTCTGAAGCCCTGTGTCCCTCTCACCGGCTGCCCCAGGCCCACCACCCTTTCCGGCCGCGTGACCCTCGCTCATGGGGCAGGAGTGACGCAGTCCCATACTACAGAGCTTAGCTTGTGTTTTTTCCAGTCGTGGGGCTTGAACCCGGGGCCTTTGCCCTGAACTACATCCCCTACTCTTTGTATTTTTAACTTTGACCCAGGGTTTGGCTAACTCACTAAGCTGTCCAGGCTGGGCTCGAATTTGTAATCCTCCTGCCTCAGCGTCCCAGCCTGCAGCAGGCCTCGCTTTATTAGTCAGGAGGGCGCAAAACTTTGTGCGGGTTTAGGCTGCACCCTGGGTCACACCGGCCCAGCTTCCGTGCGCACGCGGCCCGAGCGCTTCCCCGCGCGGCCGCCAGAGGGCGCCCCGCCCCGCGACTCC